GAAAACATTCATACTGGAAAAAAATCTGATGAATGTTACCAAGATGGAAAATCCTGAAGTCATAATAAGAACTTTATTGAGCAATGGAAGATTCAAACTTTGGGGTGACCTTTTGAATATAATGAATGTGGGACAGCCTTCCTTAAGAACGCAGCCAGCATTACACATGAGAGGGCTCACATAAGAAGAAACCCTGTGATTATAAGGAATGTGGAGCAAATAGCAATGATAAGTTAATATTAGAAGTCCATCAGAAAACTCAAACAAATGAGAATCACTCTGAAGTTAATGAAAGTGAGAAGTCAATTCTGTTTAAACATCAGAAAAATGACACGGGGGAGAAAACTCATGAATTTAATGAAAGTGAGGATAATTTCAGGAAGAAATCTCACTCACATCTCACTCAATCTCATAAAACTGACACGGGAGAGAAAACCTTTGAATGTAGTCATCATAAGAAATCTTTTTGCCAGCAGTCACACATCACTCAGCATCAGAGAATACACACAAGAGAAATCCAGTGAAAGTAATACATGCAGGAAAACCTTCCAGAAATCACAACCCACCGACTATCAGAGAACTAACACAGAAGAGAAATCCTTTGAAGCCAACCCCCATTGATCATCAGACATTGCAGTCTGAAAAGAATCTTTATGTAAGTAATGAATTTGGAAAGTCCTATGCAAAATCAAGCTTCAATTATCATTAGAGAATTCACAGTGGGGAGATGTCCTATGAATGTAACAAATGTGGAAAATCCTTCTATTATAAGTGAGTACTAACTACACATCAGGTAACTCATACAGGGAAAAATACTCTATGACTATAATGAAAGTGAGGAGTCCTATAAGAAATCAATCTTAATTAAACATCAAAGAACTCCTACAGGTGACAAACCCTATAAATGTAATGAATGTGGAAAATCTTATTCTATTAAGTCATCCCTTGGTCAACATCAGATAATACATACAGGGGAGAAATACTATAAAGAATGTGGCAAAACCTGCTTCTGGAAGTCACATCTCGTACATCAGAGGACATACTGTGGAGAAACCTCATGAATGTAATAAATGTGGGAAATCCTTCTGCTATAAATTAGCATTAACCGTACACCAGAGAATTCACACAGAAAAGAAACCCCATGAATGTAGTGAACGTGAAAAAATCTTTCACCGTAAATCACACCTAACTGTACATCCAAAGAACTCACACAGGATAGAAGCTCTATAAATGTAACGAATGTGTAAAGTCCTCTGTAAAGCCATTCCTTCTTCATCACGAGAGAATACATGAAGGGGAGGGACAATATGAATGTAAAGAATGTGGCAAAACCTTCCAGAACTCATACCTCATTGTACAGCACAGAAAACAACTGGGGAGAAAACTCACAAATGTGTAGGAAATCCTTCTGCTTTATGTCAGCCTTAACCATATAACAGAAAACTCACAGAGGAGAGACCTCATTTATGTAATGAATGTGGCAAGTTGTTCTATACAAAATCAGTCCTAATTACACATCAGAGAACTTACACAGGACAGAAACATTATAAATGTAATGAAAGTGGGAAGTCCTTCTATGTGAAGTCAATAACATTCTTCAGAGAACTTACACAGGGGAGAAACTTCCTTAACCTTCACCAGAGAACTCATACAGGGTAGAAACTTTATGAATGTATTGAATGGGGATGTCCTTCTGCTATAAGTCAGCTTTATCCATACACCAGAGAATTCACACAGGAAAGAAACCCTGTGTATGTATGAATACAGAAAAGCTTTTCTTCTGAAGTCAAGACTCACTCCTCATCAGAAGCACATTGAGAAGAGAAACCCTATGAATGTAATGAACGTAAGAAATACCTTAGCCGTAAGACATACCTAATGGTTCATCAAAGTCACACAGGAGACAATCCCTATAAATGTAACAAATGTGGAAAATCCTACTCTGTGAAGTCATCCCTTTGTCAACATCAGAGAATACATACAGGGGAGGAAAAATATGGTGTAAAGAATGTGGCAAAACCTTCCAGAAGTCATACTTCATTGAACATCAAAGGAAACACTCTGGGGAGAAACCTCACGAATGTGATAAGTGTGGGAAATCCTTCTGCTGTAGGTCAGCCTTAACCATACATCAGAGAACTCACACAGAATAGAAACCTTATAAATACAATTAAAGTGGGAAATCTTTCTAAGATAGCACACCTCACTACACCAGTGAACTCTCTCAGGGAAGAACCCCTTTGAATGTAAGAAATGTGAGAAAACTTTGTATGTGAAGTCAAACCCCAGTAATCATCACACAATTCACACAGGCGAAGCTGTATGAATGTAATAAATGTGGGAAACCTTTCTGTATGAAGTCAACTCTCACTGTACATCAGAGAACTCATGGGAGAAACCCTATGACTACCAAATGTGGCAAAACTTTCTGAAAAAAATCAATCATCACTAAACAACAGATAATTCACGTAAGAGAAACCCTAAGTTGTAACAAGTGTGGAAAATCCTATGTGAAGTCAAATTTTGTCACACCACAGAAAATTCACAATGGAAACCTTATGAATGTAATAATGTTGGAAACTCTTCTATTTAAGGCAGTCTTAACATGTCATCAGAAGACACAGGTGTTTTCAGGTAGGTGTTTCAGGATTTTATGAATGAAATGAATATGTGAAAACTTTCTGTTAAATCATACCATACTAAATATCAGAGAATCCTCTTGTTACTACAAAGCAGCCTTTCACAGCCCATTTGTTTACTTTGTTCCCAAGTGCAATCCCTGGGTATCCCTATGTGGCATGTGGTGTCTTCCTCCCCTGAGCTGTATCTGTGATTAATAAACTGCAGTTCATCTCCAAAAAAAAAAAAAAATTTAGTGTGCACCAGAATCATTTTTAGGGCTTGCTAAACATCAATTGCTGAGCCTCAATCCCAGAGTTTCTGATTCAATAGATCTGGTCTTGTGACTGAAAATTTGCACTTCTAACAAGTTCCCAGGTGTTACGGATTGAATTGTGTCCCTCAAAAAATCTGTGTCAACTTGGCTAGGCCACGATTCCCATATTGTGTGACAGTCCACCATTTTGTCATCTGATGTGATTTTCCTATGTGTTGTAAATCCTACCTCTCTGATGTTAATGAGGCAGGATTAGAGGCAGTTATGTTAATGAGGCAGGACTCACTCTACAAGATTAGATTGTATCTTGAGTCAATCTGAGATATAAAAGAGAAAAGCCAGCAGAGAGACATGGGGACCTCATACCACCAAGAAAGCGGTGCCTGGAGCAGAGTACGTCCTTTGGACCTGGAGTTCCTGAGCTGAGAAGCTCTTAGACCAGGGAAAGACTGATGACAAGGACCTTCCTCCAGAGCTGACAGAGAGAGAAAGGCTTCCCCTGCAGCTGATGCCCTGAATTCAGACTTCTAGCCTACTAAACTATGAGAGAATAAATTTCTCTTTGTCAAAGCCATCCACTTGTGGTATTTCTGTTATAGCAGCACTAGATAATTAAGACAGAATTTGGTACTGAGAGAGTGGGGTGCTGCTCTAACAGATACCTAAAATGTGGAGGCAATTTTGAAACTGTGAATGGATAGAGACTGGAACAGTTTTAAAATGCCTAACAGTAAAAGCCTAGATTGCCCTGAAGAGACTGATTGTGGAATTATGGATGTCAAAGACAACTCTGGTGAAAACTCAGAAGGAAATGAGACAGCACAGATAGCAAGAAGCAGCAGCAAACGGCAGCAGCAGAATCAGGAGACCAGTACAAGACAGTGCTGGAGCCCACCTATGGAGCAAGAGAACTGAGTGCCTTTGTGCAGGAGGCTTCCTGGTGGAGTAGGATGCCTCCAGGCACTTATCGGTGAAGCTAGGCTTGCCGACCCACAATTTATAGAGCAAGAGGCTGAGTGCCTTCCAGCCAAAGTTTACTGGCAGAGCAGGGTGCCTCCAGGCACTTATCAGTGGAGCTAAAAAACTTTGTAACACTTGCCCCAGCAGGGAAGACACGAATAGAGAAGCCTAAGGGGCTGAGAGGCCAAGGAACCAGGAAGCAGAACTGCCTCAGTCTCAAAGTGTGGAGTCACCACTCAGATGGACTAGGAGAACAGGCCGCTTAAAGCTGAGGAAGCAGAGTTGCTGTCCCAGTGGGCCTGGAAGGTGGAGCTGAAGTCCAGGGCAGAGGGGCCTCCACCCAGAATCAGAGAGCGTGGCCAACACCCAGGGTCTGGAGGGCAGGGCCATTCCTAAGTGGTGTCAGAGAACAGAGGATTATTTTCAAGCCTTGAGAGCTAATGTAACATGTTCTGCTGACTTGCTTGGTGCCTGTTATCCCTTCCTTCCCTCCAATTTCTCCCACTTGTAATGAAAATGTGTAGCTTGTGCCCACCTTTTGCACCATTGTACTTTGGAAGCAGATAATTTGTATTCTAGATTTCACAGATGAAGAGGAATTTTTGGATTCTGGACTTCGAATTAAGACTTTTGCTAAGATATGGTGGGATGAATGTACTTTCTATGTGGCAATAATACGAATTTGGGGGGCCAAAGGGTGGAATGTTATGGATTGAATCATGTCCCCCAAAAATGTGTGTCAACTTGGCTAGGCCATGATTCCCAGTATTGTGTCACTGTCCACCATTTTGTCATCTGATGTGATTTTCCTATATGTTGTAAATCCTCTCTGATGTTAATGAGGCAGAATTAGAGGCAGTTATGTTAATAAGGCAGGACTCAATCTATTAGATTGTATATTGAGTCAGTCTCTTTTGAGATATAAGAGAGAAGCGAACAGAGACATGGGGACCTCATACCACCAAGGAAGTGGCACCTGGAGCAGAGCACGTCCTTTGGACCCGGGGTTCCTGCACTGAGAAGCTCCTCAACCAGGGAGGATTAACAACAAGGACCTTCCCCGAGAGCCAACAGAGAGTGAAAGCCTTCCCCTGGAGCTGGTACCCTGAAATCAGACTTGTAGCCTCCTAAAATGTGAGAGAATAAATTTCTTTGTTAAAGCCATCCACTTGTGGTATTTCTGTAGTAGTAACACTAGATAAATAAGACACCAGGTGATGTTAATGCTGCTCATCTGTATTCATCCTCTCTCCTCACCAGTCCCATTTCAACGGCCTTGACTCAGCCCAAAGGCTATCATTCCTGCTGAGATTACAACCATTAGTCCTTAATTTATCTAACCTTATTATAACATCCTTTGAACTGCAACTGGAATAATCTTCCTAAAAAGAAAATCTGGTATCTTAAAAGCTTTCAATGATTTCCTGTAATTTTTCAGAATAACACTCAAATTTCTTGGCCTAGCATGGAAGGTCCTTTATTATCTGGTCCTCTCTCAGGGTTGCCACTTCTGTATACATACTCTGCTCTAGCCATATACATGTCCCTTATTTCCCCAAGCATTTCATACCTTTGGTATATAGATACTTTAAATGTCACAGAATGTCAGTATTTTGGTTGATGTAATACCATTATCTCATTACTAAAAAAAAAAAAAATCTAGAATCTGAAACATTTATATCTTTAAAATAATTTATGTGAAGACAAACTGATGCACAGTTTACAATATACTAGGGTACTGTAACATTTCTATTGAAAGAATAATTTTTATTTCAAATCCTTTCTAAACAAGTCGAATGTGACATAACAGCATTTATTTTTATATGGGTAACGCTGCATCAGAATCTCTACATACATGGTAAAATCAAAGAAGATGGAGACAAATCAAAAATGCTTTCTTTGAAACAAAACCTAGAGCTTGGTATCAACAGAATGCATATTTTTAAAATAATTCAAAAAGATTTCCTCTCAGTTATCAAATAACAGGATTATTCAAAAATTAATAAATCAGAGAAAAATATTTGGTACTAGCTTATATTATTCTCCCAATTAATGTGGTTTAAAAAAAAAAAAAACTCTACAGAAAATTTTGCACAAAAATACATTCACAACTAAATAAACACTCTGATGCCTTTTATTTTAAAGCTGTACCTTTAAAAGATCTAATAGATTTTCATTTTCATGTAATGTTTAGTTTATAGTTTTGAGTAATACTTTCATTCTTTTCATCTAACCATTAAAATGTAACAGATATTTAAGATTTAATTTAAAAGTTTATATTTTTACTGGGTATTTTAAAAATTGCTTTACTATTTGAAACACACCAAATATTTCATTTCACTGATTTTTAAAAAGTATTCACATTTAAAAAATGAAATACCAGTATTAATTCCTATAATCTGGTATTTTCAAAATAAATACCAAAATACCAGTACTTTTTGCTCTGGTAGTGCTATTACCAAATACATTCTTTTTTTTTTTTTCATGTTGTTCCTTCTTCCTAGAACATTCCTTCACTCTCTTAATAGTTAACAAACTACTAGTATTATTAAACACAGTTCAAGCATCACCTCCTTTGGGAAGCCATGCATCTCTCTGCTCTGATAGAGATCCAGAAAAACCAAACCCGTTGCCATCGAGTCGATTCTGACTCATAGCAACCCTATAGGACAGAGTAGAATTGCACCATAGGGTTTCCAAGGAGTGGTTGGTGGATGTGAACTGCCAACCTTTAGGTTAGTAGCCAAGCTCTTAACCATTCCACCACGAGGGCTCCCTGATAGATCCTTCCTCTATTCCTAGAGCACTCACGTATACCTCTCTCAAAACTTTCACCTCAAAATATAATCATACTTATTAAATTGTAATCTTCTTGAGGTCAGGGGCCATGTTTTGACTCTGTATATCCACGATCTAACATGGTACCTGCTACGTAACAGGTGCTTAATGAAGGTTCACTGAATGAATGAATTCCCTTCCAATAAATAAATTGCTTCCTCTCTGATTCACAAAACCAGATTTCTGGAAAACATGTTAATGGATCCCTCTCTTGACACCTCTTTCCCAAAATCCCTCTTTTGAAGGACACTGAATACTATGATTAATCTAAACTGAAATAATTTTCTTTTCTCCTTCTCTTTTATTCTAAGTTATCTATAAGTATCAGATAAGGCTAGGTCTGAGTGAATGAAATAACCTCTCCTTTTTTCATTAAAGCAGCTTAACTGTCTTCAGGTCCAATTCTGTGAATTCTCCTCAATATACAAACACTCTTTGGAATTCCACCTTTTCCAAGCACCCCTGGCCCAATCCACACCTGCCTAATCCAACACCATCCTTGCTTTAATCACCTGACCCACATTCTATGCTCCACTACAGCCCTGGTCTAGGAGGGGTAAAGAGGGAGACTGTAACAAGTGAAGTTATAATGTCTACTCTTGGGCTCTGCTCAATTCAGCTCAGATACAAAACGTGGCAAATTCCTTGGGTCATAATCCAAGACAGGTCCGATGCTGTGTCCACTCCTCTACTTGCCACCAGCATTCCCTAAACTGCTGTATGGCAAAAATGTAAAACTATCAGGTCCATATACATCTAAGTGATACGGATTTTTCATCGGTGGTTTCTATAGGAGTAGCTTTATTACATCAATCCCACATCCCCAGGCACAGTGAACCAGCTACCACCTTCCCATCTCTCCCCGACCTATTCCCCTCTTTCCTTTCATAGTGGCTGCCCAACTCCATTTCCTCTCTCTAGTATTTCTGATTTTCAGTTCTACCTGTAGGAAAAATGAGAAGGCTAGTTAGTTACTGTTACTTTGTACTTGTCTTTTTATGTATTATGTTATCTGTCTCTGTTTAAACTGTGTACCCCGACACTCATGACCCCCCATGGCACTAAAATCTCATTTTTGATACCTCAATTATCACCCTAGAGATTAAGTCATACTCTGCTTGGTGTATCATGTGAATAGTGACAGAGCTGATCAAAAGAGTAAAAGGAAAAAGAGAAAGCTCAAAAACAACAGTGCTGAAGCCAAGCATCACAGAGTGGTATGCCAGAGCTATAATGCCTGTTTAATTGAAACCTTGTAGTAAAAGTTTAAATACATAAATTTTTTTTTTTTTTTTTTATCAAAAAAACATTCCCCACTTCCCCAACCTGGTGCATATGGAGGGTGGGCAAGTGGAAACTGGCTACTTATAAGGAATGGAGAAATGGCAGATCCAACTCTGGTTGGTTTCTTCTTCCTCGAAAAATGTTCTGTGAATGAATTCAGAGTCTCAGGTGAATGAGAACCCTACTCCACACAGGCTTTCTTCGAGTACTTGGAGTCCACAGCAAGGCATTTTGTACCATGCAGACTGCTTATCTTGGCTTTAGAAGACAAGGAAGAGCAGGGCTTCATGTCTGGGCAGCACTATATTTTCAATGGTGCGATCCATGGAGTGCACCCGCTCCGGGGAGGCAGTCAGGAAAGTCAAAGGCCCGATACGCTGTTCTGCACAGGAGTGGCAAAGGTAGCCACCTTTGTTTTCCTTCCTGTTGCTCTGCAGTGATGGATAAGAAAAAGAGGTAAGGGGAACAACCAAAGAACAAGGATTTTCCATTAAGAAGCTTGAATTACTGTAATAGCTGCCAAGGGATTGGCATTACTAACCTAATGTTTTCAGACTGTGCAAACCCTCTGAGGTAACACTTCCCATGGCACCATCATCTAGGGTAAACTCAACTCTATCAAATTCCCTTAGAGCAGAAACCAGAATTTATCAAGTCAGTTTAACAAGGAAAGCTTAACTGAGCCCTCAGTTAAGCAGGTAAACAGCTCTCCTCTTATGTGTCTGCTCACAATCCAATCTTGTCATAAGGCTTTAGCACTCCCAGTCCATACTACATGACCTGACTCTTGACTATATTGTCTATAACACATAGGTAGATCTTACATCTCTTATGCCTTACATATAAAAGACCTCTAATACATCCTAAAGGAATTCTCAAATTTCTCTTTTACCTCCCTCATCCACAATCCATAGCTCACATGCAACAAAACTTAAAGGACTGAATTAAACTCTATATAAAGCTAAAGTTGCTGCCAAGAACCACATACATAAGTGATGGGGAGTTTCTTCATTGTGAGGGCAGTGTCTACAGGAATGGCATTGTTGCACTGCCCCACACAGCAGCGAACCACTCCTGTTTTTAAAACATTACTTGTCAGCTCTGCTTGTAAGAAGTACTCCTGCGAAGGAAAGAGTGAGAAAGAGAATTAATAGGAATACCTATGCTACATTCTCTTGGAAACTCTAACAGCTAAGGAACTTTAAACACTTTTTAGATACTGCTTACGTCCTAGAATGAGTAAAGCATTCACTGCTCTGTGTTCCCTTAGTTTCTCTACCTATTCCTTGCCCTTAAGGTTACCTCTAAGAGAAGACACTTAAAGCAGTCTAAACGACTTCTTGACAAAATTGCTGGTTTTAAAAACAAGAGGTTTAATGGACAAACATGCAAAACTACAATAACATTTCAGGACTATTTCTGGGTTTTCTTATGCTAACCTGTCCCAAACTGAACAGTTTAAAAAGTTACTTGTATATTCACTTTACAGCCCAGGTAAGCTGAAACAGAAGACCTTAAAAAGACTTGCCCAAATCACCCCTGAATATTTCCATCTTCCCATGCCTTGGCTACACTACTGAGCAAACTACTTAACCTCTTTAAGCCTCAGTTTCTTTATTTGTTAAATGCAGATACCACAGTACTGACTTCATGTGGTTGTTGTGAAGAAGAAATATAACAATACATAGAAAGTGCTCAGTGCTTGTCATACAGTGAGCATCCAATATAATGTTCATTACCTCTTAGACTATAAATGTCACAATATTCTGACTCCAATGTCTGATTCGCTGCTGCCCCTGAGAAGTTTAACATAGCACCTGCCACTAGCAGGACCATAAATTTGCTGATCAAATAAATGATTATGATTTCATATTTTCTGGTTTATAACTGACTGATTTTTTCACAATCTATGTCCAACATTTTGATTTATTTGGTTTTTCCTCTTGCAGGAGCTACCAACTTGCTATAAAAAGAACAGAAAATATATAAACACTCATCTATCCACCATGAGATGATAACTATGTGAAATTCTTCTTTAAAATAAAATGATAGATTTTGTTGAAGTCCCCTTTGCCTGTCATCTCCATTCCATTCCCCAGGGGCAACCAGAATCATAAATGTGGTGTGTATCCCTTCCAATTCATTCTAAAATAACTTTATATTCACAAACATTTCCAAGAACATAAAAGTATCATTTTATATATATTTATTTCCATTGTTAGTTTTCTTCTCATCTAATTCATTTCTTTAAAGTGTTATATAGGATTCCATCATATTAATCTTTCACATTTTATTTACCCACTTCCTTTTTTTTGGAAATCTAGACTGTTTGCAAATTATCTCATTGCAACAATGAGTATCTTTGTACGTTTCCCTGTTCTCACAAGCCAGAGTTTCTCTAGGGCTGGTGCTTTCAAAATTTATCAGGAAACCCATTTAACATTACAATTCTACACACACACACAACTAAAGTTATATTACCTAATCTTACATGTAATGTACTGTGGTTTTTTTTAGATTTTATTCTAATTCACTTTTTTTTAAAGCTTGACATAACCCACTAATTTCAAAAATCACTAATGAACTGCCATCTGCTCTTTAAAAAGCACTGCTCTGAGCAGCAGTTCACAAGCATTTTGGTTTTGGGATCCCTTTACACTACTACTAAGGGCTCCAAAGAGCTTTTGTTTATATGAGTTATATCTATTAATATTTACCATATTCTAAATTTTAAAAAATTTTAATTCACTTAAAAATAATAATAAACCATTACGTTAACCTAAATATTGTTATGAAAAATAACTATATTTTCCAAAAATGAAAAATAAAAATAATAGTGAGAAAAGAGTAGCATTGTTTTACATTTTGCAAATCTCTTTAATGTCTAGCTGGATTCCCACATCTGCTTTTGCAGTCAATCTGTGGCAACATCACATGTCATGTGGCTTCTGGGAAACACCAATGCACACTTGTGTGAGCAACAGAGTGAAAGGGTGAATAACATCTTAGTATTACAGTAAAATCTGCGAAAGCCAAAATTTGTGTAAGGTGGAAACCTGAAAAAGAAGGAAAACTCAAATATTTTCCACTGAAACAAGTGATAGAAAAGTGGTAAGGCTGCACCCCGTCAAAGGTGGAAAACTTGCAAGACCCAGAAAAACAAGGCAGTCCCATCGAGTGCCGGCTCTCAGACGTTTCACTGTATTATGAAAATTATATGTACTATGAAAATAGTTTGACCATGTCGACACCCTAAAAGGTCCCCAGACCACAATTTAAGAACTGGTGCTCACTTAAGATGTGAAATGTATCCTTCCACCAGGAATATTAGAGTGCCTTCTTCCCATCATTCTTGCCAATACTTAAATGATCAAACTTTTTCAGTTTTACCAATCTGATTAATTATTTTAGTTTGTATTGCCCTAATTACTAGAGAGGTTGCATTATCTTTTTTTTTTTTTTTTTAACATGTTTACTGGCCACTGGGGTTTCATTTTCTGTGAACTTATTTACATCGTTTGCCCATTTACATATCAGGTTGTCTCTTGCTTACTAATTTGTAGTTCTTTATGACCTTTGTCAGTCATATTTCCTGCAATTACATAAGCTCCAGGAGGACAGAGATTTCTGTTTTGTTCATTGCCATATCCTCAGAACAGTGCCTAGCACATAGCTGGTGCTCAAAACCCAAAACCCTTTGCCATCAAGTGATTCCGACTCATAGTGACTCTACAACAGAGCGGAGCTGCCCCGAGGGCTTCCAAGGAGCCGCTGGTGGATTCCAACTGCCAACCTTTTGGTTAGCAGCTGAACGCTTAACCACTGTGCCACCAGGGCTCCAGCTAGTGCTCAGTGCTTGTTAAATGGATGAAGGAAGTATCTCTTCCCATACTGTGGCTGGTCTTCTAACTTTATTTAAGCAGCTAACAGGGTAAAGAGCAAAGGCTCTGGAATCAGACTGTTAGGTTCACATCCCAGTTCTTCCACTCAGTACCTGTGTAACCTTGGGTCAGTTACCTAGCCACTCTGTGTCTGTTTGCTTGTCTGTAAAATTGGGACAACAACAATAACTGCATCTCAAAGGATATTTTTTAAGGATTAATTAAATGTGGGCTATTATTTTATCACAGTGAAGTTTTCCATTTTGATGCAGATTTACTTGTTTTATGATTCTTATTTTTATGTCATCTTCATTAAGAAAACCTTTCTTTTGAGGCATTTTCCTAATATTTCTAAAAATTTTAATTTTTTACATTTAGATCTTTAATCAATTTAGAATTTATAACGGTATGAGGCAAGAATCTAATTTCACTTTTTTCTATATGGAAAGCGAATTACCTCAGCACTACTTACTAACTTTCCCTATCAATCTATATAATATCATCTTTTTATACACTAAATTCTCATACACCCACGTGAGACCTGGGAGCTCTCTAATCTGCTCCATCGATCTTTTTTGTCTCTTCCTGCACCAATGCCAGACTGCTTTAATTGCTATCACTTTATAATAAGTTATAATACCCAGCCAGAAGTCCCCACACCTCCATCTTCCTTGACTTGTCTATTCTTAGGCATTGTTCTTCCATATTAATTTTAGAATTTATAAAATTCCACCAAAATAAAAACCTTATAGGGAATCTCCCCAAATTTACTCTTTGGGGAGAACATCAATTTCCACTCATAAATAGGATCTTTAAGATAAGGGGGGGGAAACCATTTGAGTAAATGTTAGAATCATTCCACAGTCTAACCATTGCTAAAAGCTTAAAAAACAAAAACTTTTAAAATCCCGTAACAAACAAAAACTTTTAAAATCCCATGCTTAAGGGAGGAAATAAATCTTCCTGTACAGACAATTCATTTGAAAAACCAGTTACTGGTGCTCTGTTAAAAAGACAGTGATAAGGAGAACTAACCAACTGGCCCAAAAGTGTGATGAGAGAACACATGTAAGTGTGGCAGACTTGCATTCTCCCCAAAGCTCACTGCTACATCTCAAACTGCCTAATACTCCCCACCGACTGCAAATTCCATGAGATCAGTGACCACATTATTTGTTTTGTTATCTGTACCCCGTAGTACTAACTACAATGCTTGGAATGTAATACTATAAATCAAATACTCGTTAACTGAATAAACAGGTGAGTCAATCAATCAAGCCACCCTCCCTCTTCAGTGACAGCTTGGGTGTTCAATACTTGCACAGGTATGAAGACCAGTAACTGTCAGGAAACACATCATCCAAGTAATTGCTAGGGGGCTTCCATCAAACTGCATAAGCTGTTGCAAACACTACCACAAGATGGAAGAGCTGTTGCAAACACTATCACAAGGGGGAATAGCAAAACCAAAAACTTTGTTTTGACCTCTGGCCTCCAGGACTCAAAAGGCACATTACATCACCACATACATCTTCCCTCCTTAAATAATGCTACGTTGTTTTACTTTTAAACGTATTGGCTCCTTACTAGGAGTAAGGTACTTCACACATACAGCACTTCACATAATCATCCTCAACAATGACTTCATGAGGATGACATTGCCACCATCCCCATTTTATAGATGAGGGATCCAGAACTGAGAAGTTAGGTAACTTATGCAAAAGATCACATAGCTAGAATGTGGCAAATGTGGGGTTCAAACCCAGGTCTGCCTAAATTCAGTCTGTGATTTTAATCATCAAGCAATATCAATTCTTTGTTTCTCTCTCCTATAATCTTCCGATGCAAAGCTAAGTGACAAGGAAGCAATTGATTCAAAAGCACTTCTATTCTGTAGAAGGTGCTCAACAATTACTGTTGAATGAATGAGTACATACCATGACCACAAAGCTCTTCTCATCCTTCTCAATGGTTAGGTCTCCCCTCAGTACCTCCCTCCTGGAGCTATCTCAAAGACCATTAACCACCTTTGAGTACCCCCTAAGATTTTCCCAAGTAATATTAATGCAGTCATTTCATCAGTTCATTATAATCCTTCTCTCATCACCTCTTCTGAGGTGCAGTTATTATCGTTATGCCAGTGTTACAGATAAGGAAACAGACACAGAGTGGTTAAGTAACTGACTCAAGATCACTCAGGTAGTTAATGGAAGAACTGGGATGTGAACCTAGGCAGTCT